AAACATTATGTACTTTATTTTAATTGAAATCATCCAGTCAACCAGCGGAGTCCGCAGGGTGCACAATTAGGACTCCCTGTGCGGTGCGTTAATGCTTCTAGGGAGGTTCCAAAAAGGGCCCAAAAAGAGCATATCGACCGGAGAAAAGTGCATTCTCAATATATGTATGGCTGACTTCCAAAACGTCAATTGCTTTGTATACGTACAAAGTATAAGGTTCCTTAACGTCGAACTACAAAATATTGACAATGTAAACTGTTCCAAAACGCAGCCGATTAGTTATCGAAACGTATCGCTGNGGGCGGAATCAAGTGCTTCTTAAATGAAGAGGACGAAAGATTCAAATAAAGGTAATTATAAAGAAAAGGATATGCATACATAGATGGAGCCACAGAGTCCCAACGTGGGAACTCTTTAGGAATTTTCGGTATTCATGGGTCGTATTGATGTAACAATCAATTTGGGTATCGATATTTATTATCGATTTTGTTATCGATATTTTTATCGATTTTATTATCGATGTTTTTATGGATATTTTTATCGATTTTGTTATCGATATTTTTATTGAATATTTTACCGATAATTTTATTGGTTTTGTTATCCATATTTTTATCGATGTTACTTTTTCTGTTGCCATTTTTTTGAGAACCGGAACCGGTCTTTATTCCCGGTTTTCCTTAGAACCGGTTCGTTAGATACAATACGGACATCACTAATATGAGCCCTGAAATCCAACGCAGCGTCACCTTTGCCAGCAAGTGCTACTTTGCACTGAGTAGGCAAATGAGAAGTAAAGTGAGAGACTTACATAAATCACACTCTAAAGGTCACTCAACATTTTAGTGATGGTTTATGGCGCAAACGTGAACTGAGTTCCAAGCACAGTGACAAGGATTAAGTAGACAGAGTTGAAGCACGAATAGAAGACGTTCCGATTTCCGTACAAGCAGTTAAGGAAATACGCTACTTAGGCTTGTTCCTAGTTGGCGTACCAACTGGACAATGTTTGTTGGCATCGCATGCCTACAAGTTAGGTCTAACTTACCTTAAGATGGGCAATAGTTGCGATGCGAATGGAGAGACTGTGCAGCACATCCTCTGTAAGTGCCCAGATATTAAGTAGCAGGATGCGGTTCTGTCTCTTGGAAGTAAGGTTTCTAACGAATCTCACCCGAAAGTGGTTCCAGTTAGCCAATACTGCTTTTGGGCCCAGAGATTATGTAACTAATGTGCTCGTAGTTTTTCTGGAAAGCCTTTGGATCACGTTTCGGGAAAGGCCTAAAATTCTTAACTTGAAAGGTGTTTCCATGCGCTTAGTTTTCTATTATGTTACACATGGCAACAGAGAGCTGCAATGAATTTCTTACATTTGACCCAACAAATGTTATAAAAACTGTTGGTTATATTATTTCATGTTGTTTAGAGAGCATACTTTGTAGTAGCGGGTAGTTATCTAGCTTTTAATCTATGAGTCATATTCTTATACACACATTGTATATGGAGATACATGTGTACATATATTGCATTATATACATCAAAGAACTTTTGCAAGACACTTTTTTATAAAATATTTTAAGTAATAAATCAAAAATAATTCTCTTTTTTATGTTCGTATTTTTATTAAAAGAAATGTATATTTCGACCGCTTCGCCGTCATTACCATTTGAGTATATAGACATACATAGAAACTTATAAATTTATCGGGAAGCACCCACATGCGACATACGACATGATTAACCACATAATTTAGTGCTACATGGGGTTAAACATTTTTTAATTGAAGCGCGAAAGTCCACAAAAGAATTTCGTGTTTTTCGCGCCACCAACTAGCACACAATCAGAAAACTGTATCTAATAAGATAACTAAGAGCGGAAAAATAGCCACTTCGCGTGAAATTTGTCACACAAATAGACTGTGAAAGTATGCACATATTTACTGTGCCTAAAAAACATCATAATTCTTTAAAGTGGACAAGTCGCAAATTTTTGGCCAACAGCCAGCGGCAATAACTTTGTCTTCTCAGTTTTATTTGTATGCTCGTTTGTATTTCTGAAACCGCGTGTGGCTATTAACTAGATAATGGCATATGTCCTCGCCAAAGTAAAAAAAAAAAGAAAGTCAGAAATAATGCCGACTGGGCCATTAGCCGCTAGCATCGCTTGCCATGCAGCTAATTGAAGTGAAAATGCGAAAAATTATTGTTGATAAGTGTGTCGCTAAGATGTCAATACATATGTACATACATACATATACGCAATAATTGTTAATAAAAAATTTGGCGCTAAATTAGGCGACATAGGCGGTATAAGTGGCTGCGAATAGAAATGAATCGAGGACAACAACAAATGAATTGCTATGGAACCATCTGCAACTGCATGCATCAAATGTAGTAGAGATGCATACATAATCGATATGTATTTCAGTTTCAAACGCTAAATATATTATTAGGTTCACAAGCCGCAGCATCCAATTTGGTAGAGTGGGGTAAGGTCTAAACATCTTTCTGAATAGTCCTTATGATCCCCTGGTACTGACATGGACCGTCCGTGGAGTTTCGTTCTCGGCACATAGCCTTTCTCCTAGGTTTTATAAATGGATTTCCTTCAAATAATCGAAATATAGTGCTTATCGTAACTATACGACAATCAGATATTGACAAGCGATGTCAGTCATTTCCTTCCATACGAATTATGCTGGACGATCATTTTACAAGGAGAAAATGTGCAACATCTTCAATAAGTAGATACTTAAATTATGGAGAGGAACCCGACGCTTCAGTTGATGACGATGGAGACGATGTCCCATCACGCGATCACGCAACTGAAAAACAACACAGCTTCTGAAGCTGACGGCCTGCCAAAGGAGCAGGCGTGTAGCTGATAAGGTGCATGCATCAACTCTTATGCAGAATATGGTCATATTAACGCATTTCCGACGACCGGAATTAGAGCTGCAAAATCCACCATAGACAAGCAGATATTCACAATACGCCAAATCTCGAGAAATGCTTGCGAGAATAGGAACGACACGCATCATCTACTTGTCGATTGCAAAGTCGCTTTCGACAGCACGAAAATAAGTTTTATTTATGCCGAGATGTCTGAATTTGATATCCACGCAAAACTAATACTACTGTGAAAAATGTCGTTGAGCAATTCGTTCGAATTGGAAAGGACCTCTCCGAGCCGTTTGATACCAAACGTAGTTTCGGACATGGTGACATTATCGATAAAAACAGATAGATACATCTGTTCTGATGACCTGCACAAAAAATTCTGTTGATAAATACTACTTTCCGAAGAGATGGCAACCCTAATCAAAATTATTTTCAAACTAAAGTTTTCTTAAAACTCTTAAATTTGACACTCATATTTTAACATTGTGCATAAGTTGAATAAACTCGACTTTTCATGGTGGCAACCCTCTTTTAAAGTATTTTCAAACTTAAATTTCTTCAAATCTCCTTTGTCTGGAATTCTGATACCTATTCAAATTAACTGATGAGTTCAGTTGAGTATAGAAATAAATTATTTTCAAACAAATTTCTCTTGATACTCAACTTTCAATAATCCATTTATCCTATTAAATAATTTGAAACTAACTTTTTCAACAGGTGGCGACCCCCTTAAAACACCTCAAATATGTTCAAACTAAAAATTTGTTAACACTCATTTTGTTTGACACCCATATTTAAAATATCTCATACAACTTTCGTATAAGCTAACTAAATTCGACTCTTTAAACATCTGGCAACCCTCTAAAAAATATTTTCAACTATTAAACCTGTTTTGTCTGGCAACCATTGGGTGATACGTATTTCAGTTACCTGAATTAAAATTAAAAATTATTTTTTAAACAGGTGACAACCCTAATAAATTTAGTTTAGAAATATAGCTTTTTCAAAACCATTTCCATTGATACCCATTAAGGCATAGTTTATTTATTATTTTAAATAACTTTAATTAAATTAATTCGAACAAACAGTGCGGATCTAATGGCATTGGTTATTAAATAATTTGAATTACATGTATGTAATGTACATTTTTAAGCAAGACCTATGTATTCCATACCTCATTCGGTTGTCCTTAACCTTTAATTAGTCTGACCCTACTACGAATAAAACAGACCCAAGACGGGCAAGCTGCTTCATCGAACGGTTAAATCAGTCGAATAGGAAAGGACGGTAGTCCCACTAATTGTATAAAAGAAAGGTTCTCTGCGACAAGAAACTAGAAGACAAGAGGAATTTCATTAGAATGGAACAAGAAAAATACTGCTTGATAAAAATGGGCTCACATGGGCAGCGCACACGTCAAACGCGTGAGTTTTTCAAACTCTCTATAAATCAGCGTCAATGCTGGGCTCAAGCATACATGGGGTTCCTAGATGATTAGTCCTGCTTGATTCAAGTGATTTACTCCAGATTTTGATCAAAATGATCGTTCGTCTAGTGCCTGCTTAAGAGATTCTAGAAAAGTCTCCATCTTGAGCAAAAACACTGACAGGACGGCATCACAAACTTGAAAGCGGACGTAATTATGATAGGCTCGGAACGCAGCAAAATAAAAAGCAGATTGTACATATACATTTGTACATATATATAAAGCCCATTGTACGATTTTCCAGCGCTGCGGAGATGGACTTTAAAATATATGAGGAATTGTTGTGACCATGGATCTATGTATGTACATATATAGTTCGCTTTTACCGCGTTACCTTATCTAACCCTGGCCTTCAAGCATTTTTGCTGTACATGCAGATTTCTCATCATCGAGTTTGGGTTCATTAATTTTAACCGATATGACATGATTAATCGGGAGAAATCACAATTTTAGCAAAATCAGTTTGTGCAGCATCGAACCTTATCAACGACAATGAAATTGTATTCACAATGTGAATGTATATGTAGCTAGTAGTATGTGCTTGTGAGTAATTGACCGAAAGTGCAAATAAACTTGATTTGATCTCTTGTCTATATTCGTTTCTCTACTATATTAAGATTTCCGATCAATCACTTTGTCAGCGTGTTAGTAGTGGAATGTGTTCGAAGAGTCTTATGGACGACTTTGCCGGCGAAGTGCAACAACAGCTGCATTGTCTCATTTATGTAGGTCTTCGCTCTATTTTTCTGCACGCATCATTCTTTGTTTATGTGTTAGTTTGTTTGTAATCAAAATTGATCACTTGAAATTGTGTTATCATGTCAAATGTTTACAGATGTGTTCGATTTGTGCTTTTTTTTCTTTGCTCAAAAGCCGAAATTGTGTGCAATTTGAAAAAGAAATTTACTGTTGTGTCTACATTAGGGTGGTCCAATATAGGTAAAGTCGGAATTTTAATGCTCCAACCCCCTGGGGTTGTTCTATATCGAAAAACAAGTATACCTTTTCTTTTATTTTGAAATCAGAAAATATTTAGAGGTCGCTCGAAGCGCTCAAATGGGGAAAAAAAACTTTTCGTGGAAATGGTATGGAATTCTTGAAAATCAATACTTTTCGTTCGGAAAACGCCAACAAATCGAATTGTAAAAACAGGGTTTAAAGCAAATTTCTTAGTATTAGTTTTTAAAAAGCTAAGAAAGTATTTTCTCAAAGAAATGGACTTTTGCACCGCTATTTCAACGGTAAATAGTAGTTTTAGAAATACTAAGGCTTTTTAGTAAGCTTAGGTACTTATTTTTATAGTTCCAGTCCCAATTTTATTATGAATATTTTAAGCAAAAAAAGGCCAGAAAAAAGCCACGAAGTTAGATCTAAATTTCTGAGGCTATGGCATAAAAATGAATAAATGCTTAATCTAGTCTCAAAAAAGGCTAAGCTGGTCACTCTATTATAGAACATCTAGAGGCCAAGCCCTTTTATTTGACAACTCATTTTTTGTAATGCAACGAACGGTGTGGATCTTATAATTTTTTTTGGGGCATAAAACTGCATTCAGTAGACGCTCTCAAAGTAGAAATTTCAGAAATTCGAATCTTCCAGAAATTAGAATTGGAGTTTGCGAAAAATTTGTTGTTTTGATTTGACCACAGGAAAACCACTATTTAGTTGTATTTTGTTTTAATAAAGTAAAACTTAAAAGGAGAATCACCAATTTATCTGTGGAACCCTCTGTTTTTTACTTAATGCAGCCATATATTTTTAATAAAAAAAAATACATATTACATGCATTGCACTGGATTTCTACGTTTCGTTTTCTTGTTTTTATTAAACAAAATGAAGTGAAAGTAGAGTACTATTGTAGTTTTTTAACTAAATTTCATCTATTTTCAATTCATATTCGAATTAAAAAACGTCCAGAAATTAGAAGATATCAGAAGTTAGAATTACCTTAAAAACAAAGTGGTTCTAATTTGCGAGCGTCTACTGTACTCAAAAAAAAAACAATTCTAAATATCTGATTAAACAATTGAAAATTCGACCTGAAAATTTTACGACTTATTCGTTAATAACTATTCATAATTTTTCAATCCTTGAAATAAACGGAATAAAAACAAAACATTAAACTGTGATTGTTTTTGTTTGGACCATATTTGCAAGCATATTTACCAATGTTTAGTGCATATCTAAGCGCTTAAAATTGATTTTGCTTATTTTCTTCGGCCCTCCTTAAGTGAAAAAATAAAACTCAATAACAACTATTCTCTTTGAGCGAAAAAAAAAAATCACAAAATAATCATTATTTTTGGTCGAAAAAATAAAAATCGAGCAATAATGATTTCCTTTGAAGAATAAAACTCAAATATTAATTATCATCGAAAAATAAAAATCATTGTAAATTACAGTATGACCTGGGATCACAAATACGTCAGTATAGTTTAATCTATTTTACGACGATTACAACTTGTTCATATTTTTGGTTAAAATTTAAGAAATAGTGATTATTTTCCGTCCCTGGCTCTCAGCCTTGTAGGCTAATAAAAAGATGTCCGCAAAAATTTTGCCAGCACTCTGAATCAAAATATGAACACGAAAATTTACAAAAGGCATAACCTAAAGAAATACAAAAACGGGCTTATATTGGAACAAATGCATATTTATTTCAAAACCATCTAACGAAAAATAAAAACAAAATTAAAAATGCTTAATCAGTACTTCTCTGCTATAAACAAGTGTGAACATGTCTCGTGGTAAAATCTGGTGCAGTTTCTGCGCCAATATGCAACTATTTTTCTGCATATTGAGAGAAAATTGAAAGCTTTAAGCGCGTGACAGTGTTTAGGATTACATATTATATGTATGTATGCATGTATGTATGTTAAAAATGTGTGCTCATATTTTCAGAGAGTAATAAATTTGTGAAGCGCTAAATTGTAGATCATTAAAGCGCCTATTAACTCAATAAATTATCGCTATAGTTTATGTAGGCTTAATTATGTTGCAACGAAAACAATAACAGTAAAACTATTGGAACGTATGTAAGTAAAAGTGTTGCTCAGTAGCGTAAGTTTGTATTCAAGCACCACGCCTAAGAATGGGCGCTGCAATATATAAATGAGAGCATAAAAAATGTACATATGCGTACTTACATATGTATATATTACATTAGAGTGGTCCAAAATTGCATGTGAAAAAGTAAAGTCGGAATTTTAATGCCGGCACCCCCTAGGATTATTCTATACCGAAAACATATGCCCCTATTTTTTATTTTGAAATAAAAACAAATTTTGGGGAGTTCTCAAAGCGCTTAAAGTTTTTCATATATGTATTTTATATGGGAAAAATTAACTTTTCGTAGAAATGGTGCAGAATTCTTGAAAATCAATATTTTTAGATCGGAATACTTGGTTCCTATTCAGGAGATTCCCATTAATAATACCCAATTGTTTCGTTAACCATTTTTTTATGGTAACTATGTTTTATAGGTCAGCCAACAAAAATCTTTAATATTAAAAATGGGTTAAATAAACAACTGGGCATAAATACTGGAAATCTCCTGAAGAGAACCACAGGAAACTCTGAGCGCATTGAGCACTCCCTAAATATTTTTTGTTTTCAAAATAAAAAAATAGGTATATATATTTTTTTTGGTATAAAACAATCATAGGAGGTGCCGGCATTAAAATTCCGACTTTATTTTTTTGGACCACTCTAATGTACATACATATGTACATATTATTGGAATACAGAATGGCTTTTAATTCCCGCACATGGACATACATTCACGCATACTTATACATAAGCACTTAAGCGCATGAACACAAACAAACCGTTAATATGTAGTCAAGAGACTTGGGTCCTTGCGAAGAAAAGTGTCAGCAAAAAATAAAAAAAAAATAAAATGGAAAATTAATGTGCAGTATGCAATAACTAAAAACAAAACTACTTCATTAATGGTAATCTACTTACATCTGTACTTGCATTCTCATATATAGTACATAAGAAATTTTATTTATGATTGTGTGTGTGTACATACGTACATATGTATATTTTTTTAAGTAATTGCCCCTCTAATGAGCTTGTTAATTGACNCAAGAGACTTGGGTCCTTGCGAAGAAAAGTGTCAGCAAAAAATAAAAAAAAAATAAAATGGAAAATTAATGTGCAGTATGCAATAACTAAAAACAAAACTACTTCATTAATGGTAATCTACTTACATCTGTACTTGCATTCTCATATATAGTACATAAGAAATTTTATTTATGATTGTGTGTGTGTTTTAGCACACACTCATGCATACATTCTTACACACTTTTAATGTACGTACATATGTATGTATATTTTTTTAAGTAATTGCCCCTCTAATGAGCTTGTTAATTGACTTGCATCGCATCGCATCGCCACCCTGCTGCTGGTGTGACTAATCGTCAGAGTTGCAACAGCAACAATANAATGTGCAGTATGCAATAAATAAAAACAAAACTACTTCATTGATGGTAATCTACTTACATCTGTACTTGCATTCTCATATATAGTACATAAGAAATTTTATTTATGATTGTGTGTGTGTTTTAGCACACACTCATGCATACATTCTTACACACTTTTAATGTACGTACATATGTATGTATATTTTTTTAAGTAATTGCCCCTCTAATGAGCTTGTTAATTGACTTGCATCGCATCGCATCGCCACCCTGCTGCTGGTGTGACTAATCGTCAGAGTTGCAACAGCAACAATAACAATACATATGTATGTATGTATATGCACGAGACGTTGTCTTCTTTCTCAACAAACGAGCAATAAAAGCACAACAACATACATATGTATGTACATAAACTCGATGATTAAGTTGAAGAATATGCATCTGTGTTCTACAGTGNGCAATACATATGTATGTATGTGTATGCACGAGACGTTGTCTTCTTTCTCACCAACAGAGCAATAAAAGCACAACAACATACATATGTACATAAACTCGATGATTAAGTTGAAGAATATGCATCTGTGTTCTACAGTGGGCGACCGCCAACCGATTTCGTTCATCATTCTCAAATCATGCATCGATCGCACGCATTCCAACAAGCATTGAACCGACTCAACCATGGTTCATTTCACAAATAAACACAAGGAATTGTTGATGCCCGATGTGAATGCTGCACTCACTGCGCTTCTCCCTGGCTGTTGGCGTTGCAAATGCATTGCAAAAGTACTTAAGAAATAGCAACAACAATAACATAATCAACAGTATTTGCTTAGGTTCTAAATTTAGTATGAGCGTCTATTGTTTATGTTGTTTTTGCTAAACATATGCTAAGTGTTGAGGAAATCCAGTATTTATTTGTGAGTTTTTAACTGCAATTAAAAGTGTTGTTTGTGCTGTTGTTGTTATGCATGATGTACGTACGTACATATGTACATACATACAAACATACGAGGTAGGCTGAATAAGTTCGGTAATCTTTGAATAAAAAGTTAATCGTCCCTCATATGATAGTGGCAGAATAGAAGAGTTCCCTATAGGAGAGAAAAGGAGGGGTTTCGACTGAAAAGTTACTTATTTCCAACATAGTCTCTCTTCATTTACTTGCACACATTCCGTTTAGCGTTTCTCTAATTTTTACATAGATACATAGATGTTCTTATGTTCTTCGAAAGGTCATCAAAATTATCACGCGATTGAGTTCCTTATTANTTTTAGCGTTTCTCTAATTTTCACATAGATATGTAGATGTTCTTCGAAAGGTCATCAAAATTATCACGCGATTGAGTTCCTTATTATCTGTCAGCAAATACGGTGCCCATCTTGCTGAAAACTTTCTCATATCGAAACGCTTATCCAAACTAGAAATCACTAAAATCCTGTCTACTTGCGATCACCAATCGGTCAATACCATATATCCTGTCGTTTTCAATTGATTATCAGGGCCTTAGGATCGCTTATGATATAATCGAAACTGGTCAGAGATTGCTTGGCAACTCTGTCGGTTTTCTCTAAATACTTTCAATTTGTGTGTACTGATTTGGGTCCCTGGGCGCAGTAAGCAAGGCTGGACAGGGCATATTTCTGAACAAATACGGCTTTAGTAATTCGTTTACTGTAGGCGTAGGTATTGATAACAGTTCTGACCGAGCGCTGTCCATTAAGAACTAACGCGGAACGGCTTAGCTGCTTTTCCCGACTCGTGGTTCTTTGGAGCATGATGGATTGTATTTCATTGAAATTCGCTAGGAACTCTCTGAGTTGAACCTGAGATGAATGCGGACCTTCATGTTGAGCGGTAATAAGTACTGCAAATTGAACGCTGGCAATTCAAAGACTCACGGACTAATTGAGCCAACCTCGTTAATTCAGCACTATGGTTTTTTTCATGGATATTTCTTTACGCCACCGTCAGCGAAAGACACAAATGCAGATATGCATACATACAAACATACATATACAACACTCAGTAAGAACCAAATGTGTTGCAACAGTAGCTGTGGCATATGCCACACATGTTTTTCATTGCTGCAGCTATTTGCGGTAACTTTAATGTTTTTGTTGCATTGTGGGGTTGCTTGTGGGAATTTGTATGCCACCAACCCGAAACATGCAAATGTGTAGAATAATTGTAATGTACATACATAGATACATATGTATGTTATATATTTTTCGAAATTCCCGGTTTTCACAACAGCCACACAGCAGCAACAGCAATAGTTGAATAATTATTCCTAAATGGAACATAAACAATGCAATCGCTAGACGAGTACATATTTGGTTTTTGTACCATCCAATTGGTGTATATTTGGAGCAAAGGTGTTTCGCAATGATAAATATTTGTAATAAATTTGAAAGCTAACATGTTGACCGTATGGTCGATGACGCTGCAGTGAAG